TAGGTGGGCTATTACGCTCGTTACGATCAGATCCCGCTTAGACCAGACTGGAAAGAGAACTTAGTAGGCAGGGTTCTTTTTGTCTTTACAAGATAACTAAGAAATTGGAACGCCATGTATAAACATTTCCCAAAACTCAACAGATTTCAGAAACAATTAGGTACTTTAATTCCCATCCGCGAAATTATTTGCTGAATTTCAGGTAGTCTACTAGTACAAGTTAAGGTAATACGTTTTCTGTCAATTAGCTAGTGTTGGAGGTTTTTTTATTAGATTAAAAACTACCTACTGCCCGGCCCGAATTTATAGCTAATTTCTTTAAGACATTTCTGAGAACACCTTTGTTTCAAGGCAATTGTAGAAGTATTGTTGGAACGCTTACGGGGAAAAGAACGACATTTTTAATAAATAGAAATAGGATTACTCTCATTACTTAAAAGCCTCTGTTTTGTAAAGAGGAATAGTCAAAGAATCTGGCTTTATTTAATTGAAGAACGAAAAAAGAATGTTTACTTCATATTTAAAAGGGTTTTGCAATAATATAACGATAAGTAAGTGAATATTTTTTGTTATTAAATTAAGTATACGTAAAATTATTAAGCCACAAATTACACGTGGCCACGGAATGGACAATAAGACATGTATACTTACAGATTTGTAAATTCGGTGATTGCTCTCTTATATTGATAGAGAGGCCTTTTCCGTTTTCAACTTTAAACAATATTTATATTAATTGACAGTGTTTTATAAAGGAGATAAAATTAATTTGGAGAAATAAAAAATTAAATACTATATAAAATAAAAATAAAACAAAGTATGGAAATTTAGAAATCAAAGAAATAATACCTTGAGCTCTTTGGTTTGGTCTTTTTATCGCTATATTGGTCACCACTGCCGTGGCTGGTAACTTAAAGCCGCTTATAATCTCTGTGAAACATTTCTGAGTAAGAGTATGCTCATTTATGCGCTGGAAACTATTACTTGGACCCATATATATATAATGGTATTAGGTACATATTTCCATTAAGAAAACTAGGTCCTTTCAAAAACTTTTTGTCAAGTATATCATTTAAATTTGAAGTAAATTGAAAAAAAAAAGACGATATCCGCCTTACTAAATGTTATTAAACTTCATATCTTTCTTGTAAAATATTTTATTTTATTACAAACTAATAAACATAACGTGATATATTTTTCATTCTAATAATATTATTGGTTTCGGCTATAGCGATTGACGCCTTTTTACGTGCCTACCTATATAAAACGTAAATCCTGCAAACGGCCATAGTTAGGGCGACATTGAACTAACTACCGATCATCTAATTAGATACTCAACCTAATTGTGATGAAAAAAAAATATATCCAGATTTCTAAGAGTAATTGTGAACTAACGGTTTGGGCTCTTATTGTTCGCAGTGAAATTGTTCCACAGCCTGTTTTGCACTCCAGCACGCGATGTACTGCTATCGCGATCTAATAAATTAAAAAGAAATACCTTTGTACAAAACAATTACATATTGGAGTTGTCCCCACAAATTTTCACCTAGCAATTTCATGCGTTTATTGCACATATCGATAACATATGCAATAAGGTGTATGAAACATAATTTTATTCTTGTGAAAAGTTGACGAGTGAAAACGAAGTTCACTAAATGTTAAGTGTTTACCGCCACCCATGGACATCAACAATAACAGATAGGCCGCAAATGCGTTGCCGACCTAACAGTGGGCCCGGGCACCTCACTCCCCAGACGAAACGCGAAGTGGTAATCAATTAACTTCACGTTGGTCTTGTGTGAGGTCATAGTACTCGTGCTTCCCTAACGAGCCTGACCATTCGTGCAACAACAGCAACAGATAATATTGCACTAGTGTTATTAAAATACATTACAATACATTACATGAGGATAAGGCTTCTTCCTTCGCGAGGAGTCTAACAAAGTGGAAATCATAGGAGCAAAGTTAAAACAGATTGAGAAACTTTGGGTCACGCTCGAGTTTTTGTGCTCATAGAATACAGGAAGTACTTAGTGAGCGATTGCAATTCACGATTTGATAAGTTGCACCTTTGCCCCGTCCGCGCATACTATGTTACAATTAGACATGACATTTACAATAGTTACAGTCAAAGAAATTTAAAATGTACGATTGTCCATTTAGCCTTAAACTAAGGTTTTTTAAACTTGCAACAAATAGTATATTCAGCATCACGCCGAAAGCCGAATATTCTACGGGATTCAGGGCAGAGTAGGCGATATTATAGCAAAAGTGTGTTGCATGTTATACATGATTATGATAGACGTATTTTCTCGTTTGTTCATATGTACTTATCTCCCCCTCCTACACCGCGCTGCATGTTTTGTTAAGTTTTCTTTACATTTTAGCAATGAGGAAATACAATTTAATATAACAATAAGAAATAAACTATTAATAGTTACATATTACGTGAACCTTGCAAAAATGGCGACTTACTCAGTTTTGCTGTCACGGAGCTTAAAACTTTTACGGGCGAAACTGATTTACTACGATTTGCGGTTACGGTGGAGCTACTTCTTGATCCGTATCGCGATCCTACGGATTTTTTAAAATGGTCAATCAAACAGGCACTTGGGGTAATGGCGTATTTTTGTAAATCACGGAGAATAATTTTGACTTCAAGGCATTTTAATATCTTAACATATCATGTGTTTGATGATTAATATTGAATCTTGAGCAGTGATAGCTCAGTGTGCGCTCGCCTTTATTTCAATATACTTGAGCAACTTGAATTCGATTCCCGTTACCGACACTAATGAAACTGCTCATTTTAATTGCTCAGATATCACGGGCTCAGCGGTGAAGGAAAACATCGTGAGGAAACCTGCATATTTGTTAAATAATAAAAAAAATCGAAAATATGTGAAGTCCGCCAATCCGCAGTGAGGTCGCGTGGTGGACTATGCCCTGATACCCTCTGTACAGAGGAGGCCTTGGCCCAGCAGTGGGACATTTAAAGGCTGATACCTAACTTTTTTTTTACTTTTATTGAATCGTTCTTCCTCCCCTAATGATAAAACGTAAAACATACCATAACTTTGAATACTTCTTTCAAAGACTAAAGAGAATAATTTATATATGTAATTATATAAAGGTTTTAAAAGCGATAACCTTTTTTTGATCTATTATGTCCTTGTATCAGTGTCGCAGCAAGCAAATTCTTTATTTAATCTTCTATAAAGTAACAAAGAGCAGAGCCGCGAACTCACAGAAGACCGGCGCGAAGTGGAAGTGCTATGCTTCTATGTCTGATGAGTGAGGTAGCCGGGGCTCACTTTATTAAAAGGTGGCAACGCCTTTGCAATCCTACGGGTGTTACATATGTATAAGGACGGCGGTAATCACTAACCATCAGGTCAATCATGCCATCTTCTTACATGAAAAGGTCCTCTTTGAAATAACTGAAGCTCTTTTTTAACTGATTTTTTCATAGAGGTTTATGTGAATTTTATATTTTAGTATTTTGTAGTGCCAATGTCTTCATTTAAGATGGAACATTGATATTAGAGCAATGGCGACATCTCTCGTTCGAATTATCGTTGTAAAAAGTTATTTGTAGTTTTTGTGTAAAGGACGTAACAGTAGATGGCGCCAAGCGTTGCTTAAAATCCGACAAATCATAGTACATACAGTACGTAGATTTTCGTCGACGTGACCATCAACCGTTTAGCTTAGTGGCTAAAGCCTCAGGGCGCGGTTCAGGGAAGACGTGGGTTCGGTTCCCGCGGGCGAAAAGCGTTTCGTCCGATTTTATAACAATTTTAATAGATGTTTATTTCAAAATAGGTGAAATGAATACATGAACAAAAATATAATGAATACTATTCAAGTTTTAAAGTACAAAATACGGGACATCTACATAAAATGAATACGTTAATAAAACAACTAATTTAAAATATATACATTTTCCTTTATTTAAGACATAAAATATACACAAAACACAGTCGAAGAAGTAAGGTCTAGTTTACAATAACTTTACTTACAAACTACAACAACAGTTACCTAGTTTTAAACTAGGGCAACTTTAAATAATCGAGATTGTTATAATCTAACGAACAATCACGAATTATTACACATACACAAAAACACAAAATGTCTACATCACATAATGGTAAGAATTACTTGCTAAAAATGATTGAACTGTGTATTAACATTTTGAGTACGTTTATACAATTTATGCATATCTTGAAGTCTTAGAATATACATTATCAACCCGTCCAAATTCTATGCACACATGTCTCACAACTCTAAGGAGTGTAGATTGAAACTTGCGAAGAAACTTACTTGTCGTGGCATTTTGTACTGTGTCTGTGAGCTACATTAAAAAGTTCATCTGCCCATCGAAAACCACAAACCATGAACACATCTACCGGTACATCTATGCCGTAATAATGAAGACACAAAATATAAAAGCTGCTTTGGCTGAGACCAACTCAGATTCCCTGTTGTCATGAATCTTGTTGTTGCAAATCACTAAGGAGTTAGAGCAACGATATAACGACTATTCGATTCGGTAGACGTTGACCTCTTTTCAGTAAGTGGCGCTGTGTTCTAGCGCATCTCTGAAACGACATTTTAACAAAACATGTCCGAATGCGATCTCAATCGTTCGTAGCGTTGGGATATTCCTACCACATTCAATTTCCTGGTCATGCCTTTAATGGCACAATTCGAAATCTTGATTGTGCTAGTTACAACGAAAAAAAATTTAGAGTAAAAGCATTGAGCCAATTTTTTTTAAAATGTTTGCATATAGATTTTTTTTTATTGAAATGATAACAAATTGTGTTTTGTAAACGACCTCACTTTTTATCCAAGCGTACGATTAAAGATATTCTGACTTCAACAAGGGGAACAATCACGGACGCGTTTAAGAAACAAATTAAAGACACTGTCTTTAATCGGTTCCTCTACTGAGAGGAACATATACTTCAATACTTCAGACTACAACCGTCCATTGGCTAGCTGCGGTCAACGTCGCTATCCGCGTCAATCTTGCAATGCTCGTTAGTACGTCGGGTGACGTTCTGGATCTTGACGTCTAACTGATTCAAGTCCATAGGGCTGTCTGTCGCGGGCCCTTGTGGGTCCGCGGGCGTTATACTACCGAGGTCTGTATTATTATCGGACGGATCCATTGGGGGGCTTTCCGGCAGGCCGTGTTGGCCCACGTCGAGAGTTGCGGTGTGTGCGCTTCCGACTGTACCTGTGTGATGTTGCGTCGTCTGTGCAGAGCTCGCGGCGGTCGGGCCGCCGACTGTACCCGTCGAAGGGGCGCCCCGGTTTGCGCGCTTCGCCCGGTTGGCGGCCTTCAGCTCGAGATCCACGCAGTGCTCGGCGAACATTAGCTGGAGGGGCGCGTGCATGTGCGGCAGCAGGGGCAGGTCTTCCATAGTCACCTGCCAAAGTATCAGCATCGGTCTGAGAAACAGTACCAGCGTCGGTTTTAGTGTCAATAATAGCTTCGATCTCGGAAACAGTACCTGCATCAGTCTGAGAAACAGTACCGGCGTCGGTCTGAGAAACAGTACCAGCGTCGGTCTGAGAAACACTACCTGCATCAGAGTGAGAAACAGTACCGGCGTCGGTCTGAGAAACAGTACCAGCGTCAGTCTGAGAAACAGTACCGGCGTCGGTCTGAGAAACAGTACCGGCGTCGGTCTGAGAATCAGTACCGGCGTCGGTCTGAGAAACAGTACCAGCGTCGGTCTGAGAAACAGTACCTGCATCAGTCTGAGAAACAGTACCGGCGTCGGTCTGAGAAACAGTACCAGCGTCGGTCTGAGAAACAGTACCGGCGTCGGTCTGAGAAACAGTACCGGCGTCGGTCTGAGAAACAGTACCAGCGTCGGTCTGAGAAACAGTACCGGCGTCGGTCTGAGAAACAGTACCGGCGTAGTACCTGCATCAGTCTGAGAAACAGTACCAGCGTCGGTCTGAGAAACAGTAGCTTCAGTCTGAGAAACAGTACCGGCGTCGGTCTGAGAAACAGTACCAGCGTCGGTCTGAGAAACAGTACCTGCATCAGTCTGAGAAACAGTACCGGCGTCGGTCTGAGAAACAGTACCAGCGTCGGTCTGAGAAACAGTACCTGCATCAGTCTGAGAAACAGTACCGGCGTCGGTCTGAGAAACAGTACCAGCGTCGGTCTGAGAAACAGTACCAGCGTCGGTCTGAGAACAGTACCAGCGTCGGTCTGAGAAACAGTACCGGCGTCGGTCTGAGAAACAGTACCGGCGTCGGTCTGAGAAACAGTACCAGCGTCGGTCTGAGAAACAGAGCATCAGTCTGAGAAACAGTACCACGTCGGTCTGAGAAACAGTACCAGCGTCGGTCTGAGAAACAGTACCAGCGTCGGTCTGAGAAACAGTACCTGCATCAGTCTGAGAAACAGTACCAGCGTCGGTCTGAGAAACAGTACCAGCGTCGGTCTGAGAAACAGTACCTGCATCAGTCTGAGAAACAGTACCAGCGTCGGTCTGAGAAACAGTACCAGCGTCGGTCTGAGAAACAGTACCTGCATCAGTCTGAGAAACAGTACCAGCGTCGGTCTGAGAAACAGTACCTGCATCAGTCTGAGAAACAGTACCGGCGTCGGTCTGAGAAACAGTACCAGCGTCGGTCTGAGAAACAGTACCTGCATCAGTCTGAGAAACAGTACCAGCGTCGGTCTGAGAAACAGTACCAGCGTCGGTCTGAGAAACAGTACCTGCATCAGTCAGTCTGAGAAACAGTACCGGCGTCGGTCTGAGAAACAGTACCAGCGTCGGTCTGAGAAACAGTACCCTGCATCGGTCTGAGAAACAGTACCAGCGTCGGTCTGAGAAACAGTACCAGCGTCGGTCTGAGAAACAGTACCTGCATCAGTCTGAGGTACCAGCGTCGGTCTGAGAAACAGTACCGGCGTCGGTTATAGAAACAGTACCGGCGTCGGTCTGAGAAACAGTACCAGCGTCGGTCTGAGAAACAGTACCAGCGTCGGTCTCAGCAACGGTACCGGCGTCGGTCACCCCCCTCCCCCATCCGCACCTGCATGTTGTCGAAGGCGACGCCGACGCCGACCAGCGCGCGCGGCCCGAGGCGGGGCACGCGCGCGTAGCGCTGGCTGAAGTGCGTGAGCAGCGTGCAGCGCGCCCCCATCCGGCGGCCCGCCTCGATCGCCTGCGAGGTGGTCGAGTGCATCTTGGCGCGCGCCTCCTCGGCAAGCTCGTCCTCCATAGTGGCCTCGTGGATCAGCAGCGTGGAGTCTTTGCCTGGACGATGTGTTTTTTTTTTCTATGTGAAACGTTGCCAAGCGAGCAGACGGTCCACCCGATGTTAAGTGAATACCGCCGCCCATGGACATCCGCTACACCCGATGGTTGCGGATGCATTGACAACCTTTTGAAAATTGAGCTTAGATGCGAACGATTAAGCTATTGTATGGCACCGAAAATGCATGTAGCAGCTATAATTGTAGAACAAACGACGGATTAACCATTAAGGTACTGTCGATACCACGAATAGCAGAACTCAATCCTTATGCTTGATCTTAAATCAAGTGACCGATGATGGATGTTCAGTAATCCGAAGGCCTATGGGTTGATTTAAAGAGTATGTCATAGTACAGCTTCTTTTGATAGCCAACAAACTAGCAAAGGTCCATTAAATGTTACACGGACCATAAATGTTAACTTCTGCATGGATATAACGAAGTTTTTGGTATGGTAGAATGAATGACTGAAATAATTACTAATCCAAAAATTGGTTGGACAGGGTCAACAATTTAAGCTTAAATTATTCTATACAAATCACACATTATATAGAATCAATAAAACCAATTTACTTGCTGTATAAATGATAAGTTATGAAAGGGTAAGAAATAGAAAGATAATTTTATATCTTTCAAAGAACTTTTAAAACATAATAAAAAAAATTATCACATTTTATTTGGAGTGTGACCTATACAACCTACAAAGTTTCTTATCGAAAGTCAGAAGGTCTTCCGTTTGAAGAATTTGAAGAATCATTCACCATCAAAGTTGAAATATATAATAAATACTTAAACACGATGGTTATGTGACTTTTGGTAGTTGCTAGTTGTAATTTTTATATTAATTTTTTATAGTGCTAAATAATCTTTGCACTTAAGATGAGTCATTATTTTTATTTTTTAGAAAACAACGAAGATTTTCTAAAAACTGTTGCAAAAAAAAAACTAACATCAACGTAGCGCCTACCATACCAGCAAAAGCGGGACAAACGGGCCCCCCTTACCGATCCTCGCCAGCTCGTCGCACGGTATGGTGTCGCCGGAGTAGGTGATCTTGTGTCCGCCTCGCAGCTCGACGGCGACGCCGAACGCGTTGGGGCAGTGCGCCACCAGGCACGTGGTGATCCTCGCCAGCCCCAGATCTGCCAGCGTGGCGGCGGGCAGCCCCCACTCCGTCAGGTCGCACTTGGAATCCATCTGAAGGCGGACGAGAAGCGTCAACAACTGCCTTTTCTCACTGCACGGATGACGCGGTCTCCTCGCCCTGTGGGTTTTTTTTTCGTATGGGACGAAGATTTCGGTGACCCATAAACAGTGAGTGAGGTAGCCGCGGCCCACTGTATTAAAAGGTGGCACATCTGCCACCCTATGGATGTTGCAATGTCCTTGGGCGGCGGTTAACACTTGGCATCAGATAAACAGCCAGTTCACTTGCCACCTCACATAAAAAAAAGTCACTCTCGGTCTGTGATTCGCGCAGAGATCTTTTACAGTGGCGAACAGGCAATCGTTTCACCTGACGGTATGCTTGTGGCTTTTTTCTCCAGGAGCGACAATCACTGCTTACAAATCTCGCAGACGGTGGGCTATCATTAAATCACAGGTCAAAATTTAAAGTTAACTTAACTTCCTGCTTAACTTAGTGAGTTTTAAGGACATTTTTTCTTTAAATTTATCTTGTGTTGTAAAGACGTTTTACCAACATAAATTTCATCTGTGGGTCACACAAACAGTTGTCCCGTGTGGGAATCGAACCTCACGACCTCGTACGCCGAAGTCAATATCTTGGCAACTTCCCCACGGAGTCATCAGACAAGTGGTTCCTTAGTGGCCCCCTATAGACATTTAACGACCCGAATGGCGTAATGGTAGTACCTGCCTCCTGCGCCAGATAATGTGGGTTCTATCTCCACTACAGGAAAAATATTGTGTGATGAACATAATGTTTTACTAGTGTCTGGGTGTTTATATATATATATATGTAATATGTATTTATTTACAAAAGAAAAGTATGTTTAAGTTTGTTTATCAGTTATCTACTACCCCATAGTACAAGCATTGCTTAGTTTGGGACTAGAGAATGTTGTGCAAAAATGTGTCCTGTCTAAAAAAATGTGTCCTGTCTAATAAATGTATGCATAAGTCAGTCTTCGCCAGGCTGTTACCATGGTCTGATTGGGCACTAGGACAAAGTCGTCTCTTATCCGCTCGAACTGGTGGTCGTACAGTGACAGCCACGTGACGATCTGGCCGGGCGCGAGGAGATGCAGCGGCTGGTAGGGCTGTCGCGAATCCACCTCCTCGAAAGCCTGACGACGCGCTTGCAGCACCCCTATCAGACCTGCAATGTATCGTGAACACGCAATGAGGTCGATCCAACATGCGTTCTTACTTTAACTTATACGCAATTTCACGCTAAATCATTTTCTGTATCGCTACCCTCACATATCTTTTGCGAACAACGTTGCTGTTTGGATGTGTGAAAAAAATTGTTTTGTTCTAAGTAGTATTAAACGATAATTTAAATTTCATATTGCTAATCTCTGCACTTAAGTTGAAACATTAAAATTTGTAGAAAAATGGACATGGTAAACTCGCTTTAGTCGCTGATCTCTTTCGAATTAAACTTGTAAAACGATAATTGAAATAGTTTAATTTAACCAGCTTCGTTTGTATCAAGCTCACCGATGTGGTGGTCCGCGTGCAGGTGCGACACGTAGACCGCTTTTAGGGTCCTCAGGAAGGCGTTGACCCTCTTCGGGCCGTAGAACCGAACCAGCTGCCCGAAGGTGCCTTCTCCACAGTCCAGCAGCATCGACCTGGACTCGCTGCAACAACAATAAAACACCATTTGACGATGACGAAAGATTTACGAATGACTTGTTAAAATATCTCATGAAAGTCATCTTTCGTTCAACTATAATATAAAAGTAAAGTAACAGCCTATACATGTCCCACGGCTGGGCAAAGACCTCCTCTGTAAAGAGGGCATAGTCCACTACGTGGCCCCACTATGGATTGGCGGACTATAATATATATATTTTTTTATAATTTGTCAGTTCAATTCATAATTATTAATATTTTATTTCACTATTAATTTGTATTTACTTCAATTGTTACTATGGGCTTTTTTTATTATAACTATGACATTTCATTTCTTGTGTTTACGCGGCAATGCTGACACACAATACATTGTGAAATTATGCTTTTGAACGAGTTTTGTGCTGTAAACTATTTTTCATTTTGTCTTGGGCGTCACGTACAGCCTGCCCCAGCCCAATCTGCATTGAAGAACTGAGCACACTCTTAGTAATATGATCGTTATCATTATCATTTTTAATATTTTATTATTATATGTCCTCACAATACAGGATAATGTTAATGTAATAATAAAGTAAGGACAATGTTTTTAAAATAAAAAAAAGTGGAGTGACTGATACGCGAAAATGACAGGAATCATATTTTCTACATTATTACTATATGATGAAGTGGCAAAAGAGGTAGCGGTTAGCCTGATATTAATAAAAACCGCCGCACATGGGCATTTGCAACCCGTAGGGTTGCTACCTCACTCCAGACGAAACGGAGAAGTGCAACACTTCTACCTCACGCCGGCCTTATGTGCGGTCGTGGTACCAACCCGGTTTACTGTTCCCCGGTTACTGTTTCGCTGACCTACCATAGTTGTGTCCCGTACGATTATCAACTCACTCGATCTGCAGCACGATACCGCTGGTGTTCCTCGTCTTGCTGGGAATGCAGGAGCCGGTGCCGAGGAACACCACCCTGGGGTACTCCGCGCCGGCGCCCCGACCCTCGGCGCGCACCTTCGCCGCCAGCTCGTGGAACTGCTGCAGGCTCTTCGCGAAGCCCTCCACGCCCATGGACTCCTGGATGTACTCCTGTATGTGCAGCTTGGGTTCCGCCGATCTGTAATTGCGTACACACGTGTTTAATTATTATCGCTATATTCTCTATGTACAATGTCTGATTTTTTAAATCATCTGATTTTTTTTTCATGAAAGAGCATTATTATGTAGAAGCCTGAGTAGAAGATTGTCAGTTACTTTTTTTATTTTCATTGAAATACCTTGATAAATATTAACTAGCGACCCGCCCGACTTCACACGGGTGCAATGTATTATTTAATACATTTAAAACTTTCCCTTGAATCACTCTATCTAGTAAAAAAAACCGCATCAAGATCCGTTGCGTAGTTTTAAAGATCTAAGCATACATAGGGACAGACAGACAGCAGGACGACTTTGTTTTATACTATGTAGAGAAGACCTCTTTCCACTTGAAGAAGGAATGTGTTAGCTGTTGCTCTACCTATCTAGATCCTTTTTCGGTCTCAAGTGGAACATCGTGAGGGTCCTCCCGGTGATGATGTTCAGCTTTCCATCCTCAGGGTTGTCCGTTCCATCGCCCTCGGCCCTGTTGCCCTCCTTCATGCTGATGATGTTCTCGAACTGCGCCAACGCGATCTGAACGATAACATTGCGATTGACTAAACGATGCTATGGTACAACAATGCAATGTACGTAAAATGTGTCGATAAATATTTTTTTTCTTTCTAAGTGCAGGGACTAGAACAAAAATTAAAGCAATAAACATTTTTAAGTTATACCTCTTTTGGCGCGTCAGGGGAATGATGGGGGCTAATATTTACTCAGCGATATGAAATTAGCAGTTAGCACCACAAAGCTAATCGATAACCACTAGTATTATTATATTGTGTCAAAACCAAAATATCTATTCTCTGGGGTTATTTGAGTCAGTTACTTTGGACGCTTTTACACAGTGCCTCAAAGCGGTATAGTCTTCATTCTGGTTCAGTCGAGTCAAAGTCACGTTGAATGGCCCACACAATAACTCAAACCGGTACAGTCGAGTCAAAGTCACGATGAAAGCTTTTACACAGTACCCCAAACTGATTCAGTCGAGTCAAAGTCACGTTGAAGGTTCCACACAGTAACTCAACCCGTTACAGTCGAGCGTAGCGATGTCGAACACTTAACACAGTACCTCAAAGCGGTACAGTCGAGCTAAAGCCACGATGAAAGCTTTACACAGTACCGCAAACTGATTTGAAAGTCACGTTGAAATATTTTACACGGTACACCAAACTGATTCTGTCGGGTCAAAGTCACGTAGAACGTTCCGCACAGTAACTACAACCGGTACAGTCGAGCGTAGCGATGTCGAACGCTTCACGCAGTACCCGAAACCGGTACAGTCGCGCGCACCGCCGCCGATCGCTCACCCTGTCCCTGAGCCGGTCGAGGCGCTCGTGGGCGGCGGGCGCGGCGGGCGGGTCGTCCCAGACGGCGGGCACGCTGACGTCACGCAGCAGGGGAAACACGCGCGCGTCCAGCTGGTGCAGCCTGTGCTGCGAGCGGTGCACCGCCTCCGAGCCGAGGCACGAGTTGCCCTCGTTGAGCACCAGGTGGCGCGTGGCGGGGCCGAACATCGACATGAACGCCCGATAGCTGAGAAGGGGAGCGAAGTTTTTTTTTTTTTTTTAAGTTATATTACTTATGGCGCGTTTGGGAAATCAGAATCATTTCACGTCACTTAGATATACAGGGTGTTGCAGAAAAGTGTTGTAACATTTAAAGGCGTGTATATATATCAAACTTTGAATCAAATGACATAAGCGTGTTAAACATACATGTAAATGAAAAAGAGGTTTATTAAAATTTTGTAGAAAAAGTACGAAAAGATTGTCGCCGCTGTGGGAATCCAAACCACGTCTTCGGCATTCGCGGTCTGACGCTTTAGCCACTAAGCTAAACGGCTGATTCCCACAGCGATGAAAATCTTAACGTCTTTTAACAACATTGTTTTTAAGCGTTTGAAGCAATGTTTGGCGTATCCATTGTTATATCCTTTCCAGCATACAAACAATGTCGAACATCGTTTTACAACGATAATTCGAACGAGAGATGTCGCCATTGCTGAAAAGAGGTTTGTTATAAGTTTCACGAGTCTGTCTGTGTATCTGTGTGTATGTGGCATCGTAACTTCTAAACGAATGGATCGATCAGGTGAGGTCTTTTTTGTTTGATAGCTAACGCGAACGAGATGATTCTTAGCATTATTATGAGTTTTTTTTGTCAGGTGGTTACTCAGTTTCTAATTTTTCCAATATGCTTTATTGTAATGTATTGCGAATCGGTGTTTGGTGTCTATGTAAATGTATCTATCTATAATAGAGACAAGTAACACTCACGTGGGGTGACGCAACACGTGCGAGGGCGTGTAGTGTACCACGACGCTCGGCACCATCTCCTTTGGGTTGACGCCGTTGTCGAAGTGCGCTGAGAACTCGTGCTCTTGCAGATACGATATGTCAGGCACTTCCAACACTGCAACGCGTGGATAAACCGCAGTTACGACTCGAACGAAATTGCAATACGACATAGGCACTTTGAGAAGGGAGCATATTCATTCCTCAAGTTGACTACTCTGGTATTGCGAGTGTCCATGGGCGGTGGTGAGCACTTACCACCGGATGGCTCGCCTGCTCGTGTTTTCCGTAAAAAGAACTGCATAATGAATCGGTTTTGTGAAAATAGATGTTTTTTTGATACATTTTTTGTAAAGATTTTTTCATTTGCCGATAATTCTGCAAAAGAGCTGCGGTCCTAGAACAGTTTTACAACTTCATATTCCAAATACATTCAATAATTCGTTTAAAATTCAGTACATATTTATACGTATAACAAAATAGGTAATTCCTATTTTTATTTCTTCTATGGTCTTCTCAAAATTTGGAATGTTTTAATATTATAATTATACACTTATAAATTTTAATATACACTTCAGTTACTAACCAATAAATACTGGTCCCGGATCATCTGGGGTTTTCACGTCTTTCGACCTGACGACGGTCCCGTCTGGCAATATCACGTCGAGGCCGTTCTTCAATTGGCCAAGCATGGGGCCTGGCTTGACACCCTTCTCTACGCACTTCTCCAAATCCAGAGTGCCAAGTCTTTTCTGCAAATTCAACGAATATTTTCTTTAATATAATCAATGGCTAACATTGCACTGTTGTTAAGTTATTTGCTTCCACAGATTTGGCTGACAATCGGGTCCTCAATATTCGTATAATAAAATAACTAATATTTAATTACGCGCTGTGGCTTAACCCTTAAGTTTATACCTGTAATTAAGTAATACATGATACATATGTGTTGAAATTGTTATGTTTTTTTACTACAAAACATAGTATGTCTGTATATATAAAACAGTTAATGTAGTTCTGGTTAATTCTTGTATATATGTTTTTGATAACCTGGACAAACGTATGCATTTGATAACATGACAAATTAATGAAACTTCCTACCTTTAGGGTGCAAATGTATGCCACTGTACATTTTGAACTTCCTTGCAAGTCATTCAGGATCTTTTCTATCTTTTTCTTTGGAGTATCTGAAAAATGTATTTTATCAAGCTAATTGTATCATTGACACGTTTTAAAATCAATCTGAATATTTGTGGCAAAATTGATTTTGTGATTTATATAAGGAGAACTAATAATGGGAAAAAAAAATTTTGCAACATTCAATTATATGCTTCCACAGGTAATGGATTCAGTTACGTTAACAAACCTTTCTCTGGTGATGCTTTTGCTTTGTCTTTGATATTGTTATTCTTCTTTGTCGTATTTTTTACATCAGGATGGTAGTAATCAGTATCATCATGCGTAAACTCCGCCAATACCTTATCATTAGGATTATTGCTGAGTTTAGGCTTTTTAATAATAGGATTTAGATCTGGTTGTAGAACGTTTTCTGGACGACTGAAAATAAAGTTAATTTTTATAATTTTTCTGTCTTTTTTGGAATAAACTCGATGTATGTACATAAATTGCTTCATTTGATTATGAAAATAGTTGATTATGTTAATCTTTATTGATATGCCACAAAGTGGTAAATATGCCGGTGATTTTTCATGTTGATAAGTTTCATTCTGTAAGAATATGGTACTTCCCTTGTATAACTCAATAATTCATGCAACAGTGTAAGCTGTTGAGTGGCCCTACCACATTGTTTATTGAAAATAGCGGAACCTGCTGATGGCTACCAATAGCTCTAGCACAATGAATTGTGTGGCTTTAAAATCCTACAATGATATACATGTAGCATTGACAGAATAACAACTTATAATAAAAATGTAAAGATATAACTGTATACTTACAGTAACACATATTTGACTGTCATAACATTATCAATAAAATCTTCACCAGGGCTGCATTTAGCCATTGTAACATTCATGTCTGTCATTATAACAAACCTACGGGTGGCGGTGTAAAGTTCATCCTGAAAACAACACAATTGAATTGCAATTTTTCTATGATTATAATGATTATAATTATAAAACGTATAACTGGCGACATCTCTCGTTCGAAATTATCGTTGTAAAACGATATTCGAAATTGTTTTTATGCTGGAAAGGATATAACAATAGATGCGCCAAGCATTTCTTCAAATCCTAGAAAAAGAATGTAGATAAAAGACGTTAAGATTTTAGTCAGTGTGGCAATCAACCGTTTAGCTTAGTGGCTAAAGCGTCAGGCCACGAATGCCGAAGACGGGTTCGATTCCCACAGCGGCGACAATCTTTTCGTTCTGTTTCTACAAGATTTAAAACTTATAACTTTAAAAAAGCAATTCTTGTTTATTTATAATTTTAGTGTATTCCAGAGCAGCTTTTATAAATTATTGCTGGATTATTTTGAATTAAGATCCCATTTCCTATTTAAGTTTATCCAACAAAAATAGAAACACAATTTTAATTACAAATCAAAGAGTGCCATGTCATAATTTTGAGGTACTTGTATTGTCATAGTCAACACTTTATGAGTCATATAACTCAACATATATCCCGTAACATGACTAAACAAATGTATTAAATTAGTTTATTACATTCGAAAATGATGTCTGAAACTTAACAGAAAATTCAAAATGAAGCTAAGTAACCTGGCTAACTACAGTTAAACCTATTTTCTTTTAACAAAACAAAAATTCTTTATGGAATACCATGGTTACATGCCACGGAATCGGGGGAGTCGCAGGGGTATGTGTGAGTCCCAGACAGAACAGGTACACACTAAAAAAACCACATTACACCTGCACTATCGCATTAGCCACGAACACAGGAACACGAAGACGCAATTTGCCGTGCCCCGGAACTACGGAACTACCAATTTATAAAATGTATAATTCTATTTACTATCAATTGAAGTAAATATATCGTTTAAAATACGACGATGTGAACAATACTCTCTCCACTGTAGTGCATTGGTTTAGTAATAGCGATTTATTATTGAATAATAAAATAACTACAACCCGGTTTCTGAAAAATGTTGGTTAAACTCTTGGAATAATTTTTTGATTAACAGCTGATTAGTTAATTTCAACAATGATCAGTGGCTAGAGCGTCAGGCCGCGAATGCCGAAGACGTGGGTTCGATTCCCACAGCGGCGACAATCTTTTCGCACTTTTTCTACATATTTTAATGATCAGTATTTCAGAAACGGGGCGTAAATGTATTAAATTTTCAACTTGCAATGTGAAACATGTAAAAACTGATATTCTATTATTTCTCATTCAATACATTTTCTGGATGTTCATATAAAAACAAGGAATAAACATAAACATAAAAATGAACAAAAACATTTCTACCCACTCTCTAGACTGAGTAGAATAAGTAGGTATTTCGGAGACATCATGGGACAATGTATATGTTTTAACAATAAAATCCCAGAAACAGTTCAAAATGTAATAGATCCTAAATTTTTAAAAATTATAAAGTAATGTTTGTGTGTCTATCATAAGATTAGTGATTCTTTAAATTTTAACAGACTGGAAATAATTTGATCCCCCCCACTCTCTCAAGTGGACTTTTATTGTAAATATGGTTCATGGCCAAAAATGGTGTAAAAATTGTCCCCAGAATTACTTTCGCCGGTTCTTCTTAGGTTAGTGGCTTCTTTGGCTAGTACAGTTAGCACATAGTTTTATCATTATTGTAATTAATCAAGCCTAAGCTGTCAATATTATAGATCAATAAAATTAAACACATTTTTTATAAACTTACCAAGCCGTCGGGTCCATGCAAAGTTATATTAGGTACACCAACATCTTGGAGTGTAAGTGAGAGGCCGGGCAGTCCACCAAGATTTCTCCATGTCTTGCTAGTAATAAAGATGTGATCCAATCGTGTTAGTTTCACCTTGTGCTCATGAGCTAGCCGTTGTGTTGATTCTCCACAATTGAATAGATACCTAGACATCATATGGTGCAAGTGTTAAATTAAAAAAGATGTGTTTGTGTGTATATTCAAGTCTGTATATACCATAATGTTAAACAAAGGAGAGAATTAACTAAGATTTTTTTAAGATAAAGCTGATGTAATAAGAAATAATAATGGTTACCGCTTTTGATCCGTAAAAAGATATAACGTGTTAGGAGCTCCTCTCGCCCCAGAACCAAGTACTTGGAGATAAACGATGCTAGACCCATAATTTTTACCCTTCTTGGAAATAAGTTGCCGTTGACGCTGTGCATCAGCAATTCTGGCTGAATTCGCTTTGGGCATATTGGCTAAAATTCCCAATAGCCGTTGAGTATTATTTTTACTATAAAGTCGAATACTATACTTATTTACGCTAGCTACTGAGCGAAATAGCACTATTATACCATACATGTGTTTGGAGGTTACTTGTAAGCGGGCCAATATTACGAGCATTCATCTAATGCTAGCGAAAGGATTAATTGTAATTCATATTTTATATATGGTGCCTGAAATTATTGACACATTTTTAGATTTAGAACTTTTTACAATGTTTCTGCGCTTTTCGGTGCTTTTGACAACCAGTGTTCTTGTACTTGTGTATAGTTTGACTTTGGCAGATTTTGTCTTAGTTTATGTTTTTTTAACTGTGAAGGACAGGTAAAATATATATGCACCCTAAAGTTAAACTTCAGTTACTAAGTTACTATATCTTAAAAGTCTGTAAGAATTCGAACTTTTCGTAAATTTTAATAAGTTTAGCTCAGCAAATTATGAAAAGATTTTCAATATTATCACAATTATATTTTATTTTATAGAAAGTAATGTTACCACTCCTATAATTACTTTATGAAATTCAATGATTTTTGATAGTGACAACATTGAATTAGGAAAATGGCGTTCTATACAGCTGTGGGTTGCGCAATTTATATGTAAATGTGCACAAAAATCTTAATAAGAATTAAAATTTTATGTGTAAAAAATACTCCAGACTTTAAAAATGTTATTTGTGTAAAATTAATAGTGTCAATATTATATAGTGTTGCGGTATAGTTCATTTGTGCAAACCTGTCATGGACCGTGTATTTTTTGTGTTGTGGTGATGTATTAAAATGGTAAATAATGAAACGAAAAATAATGTGGCTGTGCAAATAATGTAACAATGATGGGTTTTTTATGGGTGATTTTGTTTTCGGCCTCAACGGGCCTGCATTTAATACTAGGGTTACCTTTGAGGCCAACGCCGCAACTCTACCCTCACGGTAAGTGGTCAAAATAACATGTTTTTAATTTATTACTTATTAAAACTATAATTTCTACGTATGACAAAATTCTATGTTTATTTTTATTTAGATAGTTACAAGACTTAAAAGAAAATACTTTAATATTTTATTTTAATAAATATTTATTGGCATTTGGGGGGGTAGTTTACAATTTTCCATGTAACGACTATTACTATATCACGTGTTAATTTCAAGGACTATATGAAATGTTAAATTAATCATATGTCTCAAATAATAAAAATTGTATTATTATTTATGCAACTGGCGAAATTTGTCAGTAACAATTTAATGTTTACTAATATATATGTTTATAATACCACATTTTACTTTTAAATAGTTCTAAGCTATTATCAACTCTTTTAAGAACATTGTTAATCAAATTAATAAAATTTCTGTGTAAACATATTGGATAAGAAGTTTTATGACTATGTCTAATTTTACCAACATTGCACAATACAAACTTGTCCATTCAATTCATTAAATTTAAATACAAAGAATCCTAGCATTGATAACATGAAAATATCCAAAATTTTGCTTATTTTATATTATTATTGCTAAAGAACTATGTCAAGATTACAGCTGTTTTTGAATAGAGCTATTAGTTAAATACTAATTTTATTGTATTATTACACAGATCCAAATGAAGCAGCAGTCTTTCATGGATGGGGCCCACAAGGGCTGTATGCGCTACCAGCGCTGGCGCTGGTGCTCACCGCTGTTGGACTTCTGTTTGGATGTACCTGGTGTTATAGGCATAAAGATTGCAAGGTAAGCTAGAATTATTTAAAAATAACTTGCGAAAAAATAAGAGGAAACTGTTTTCCGTTCATTGTATAGTCAGTCCGTGTTTTGAATTACATGATCCTGTTTTAAATTAAATGCCGAAGCTTATTTATTGTACCATATTCTAATCCAAACCACTTAAAGATTCAGCAATAATTCAACGCTTATTACCAAAGTACTTAGGACATTTACATAAAACTGAATACAAAATGATTACCTATGGGAAGTTTAAAAGTTATAAAATACATTTTCTACAAAGCTATAGAAAGATAAATTTTAAATGTTCAATAATTTGTAAAAAGAATTGAGTGTTATAAAATAATCATAACAAATACTTGTACATAATAAGATTTATTTTAACAAATATTATTCAACCGTCTCATGCAGACTAATTTTTTAACCAAATTCATATAAAAATATCAAAAATTAAAATATCTTAAGCATACTTATACATTTAACACTTTTCAATTTTGTTATATGTTTATAATTACCCCATGGAATTATACCTGTTCTCTGGTATTTAGAGTTTCCTGATGCAGTTTTTTTATGATTGTAGTCTTAATCTACACGCCTAGTAATAATTATAATAATCTGTTTATTATAATTATTTATTTATCAAGTTACTTTCAAAAAGCAGTGTATATCTGTAATAAAGCTTGGAATATTTAGGCCTATACTCAAATATATCCGGGCATATCTACATATAATTGGAGCAACATGTTGATAATATAATGGAATGTTATTGTGTTTTATTTGCCTTAATCTATTAAATATATGTAAGAATATGTATACAAATTTACAATTTAGAAAAATGACTCCATTTAAATATCACAAATGGAATATGCGGAACTTTGATGAGTTGTTCTACATGCGCCCGTGGGGTTAATGACTCAAAAAAAGGATTTTTTATAAAATTAAAAAAAAATTACAAAAACATGCCAACGCGTACTGGGCTTTACAAAGTTCTTTATCATTATCACTAATCTTATTCAATATCCAAACATGATATGCCCAATAGATCAAATCGTTACGTTTCCGTAGATCATTCCGTAGATTGGCGGTCATCGCCATATTTGCGAAGTATTTATATAGGACCAAATCCTAAATACTAACATGGTTTAGTATTTAATACTGAGTGAGTAGCGCTCACGCTTATTAAGTCCCATTAAATGACTCTTAAATTGTCACCGCACACCGAGAGACGGCGGTTTATATTATACTACATATTACTATTAAATCTAATAGTTAACGTTATACAGGTATCGATATGCTTGAGAATGACTGCAACCTATATTATGATCTCGAACATCAGTTCTTGAACGAAAGAAACGGGATTTTATACGGAGTGTTTTCTTTAAAAACAAATAAATCAAGAAGGCGCGTCAAAAGAACAATTCGGAGCATTTGAAATCTTGTTAAAACCTTAAAACGAAAAATTTTACTGGTATCTAACCGTTAGTCTCAATGTTTAAATGTAGGCGTGGTCTATCAGTTTGCACGTCATCATCATAATTTCAGGTTATTCGAGTCCGTTTTTTAACATAGGCCTCCTCCGCAGACTACCACGAAGCATGATCCTGAGCGACCTGCATCCATCGACCTGTCGCACATGTCTTGACTCCATCTAGTTAAGGTCGTCCTGTGATGGCCATTATGAGGCTACCACTTAATTGATAAAATTTCGTTTCCATATTGCGCGTCATATTTCCATTTAACAGTTGAGAGCAGGCGATTGCACAAAAGATCAAATGTTCATTTGTGAATTCAAGAAAACAAACTGAAGTATATTTACCAAGTGTATTACCGAGAAAAACTAGCCTACATAATCATAATATCATCGTTTCAAACCCACTGCTGAGCAAAGGCCTCTTCCAAAGACCGCCACAATAGATTCAATGTTGAAACTTCCGTCTGCCACTTCGCCGAATCTGTTCTTTGTATATTACTGCCCATAGATTTCTTTCCGTACATACGAGCCGGTGAATGCATTCGGCCATCCATTTTAAGCTAACTTTTATTGGACAACTTACCTATTAGATTGACATTTAAATTCGTCCTTGTTTTTTTTTTTTTATTTATTTAATTAGGATCGCAAACCGAACATTACACTCACATTACAGAATAATGGACACAGAAAAAGTTTATACGGAACTTAACACACAAGTGAATGTTCTTCTATGAGCGAACACAACATGCACAAAAAACACTCTCAACAATAAATAATTGTATAATGAAAGAAAAAAAAAATAACTTCAAACAAAACAATTGTTAATCCCATTTATTAATTATTCTATTTGTGATGAATCATTTTGAATTATAGTATTAGTAAACAGACGAACCACGTATCAAAAAAATAAATATAATAAAAAAATCCCACGACTCGTCAAGTTATTCAAACCTAGAATGCTTTCGTGCCGTGTTAAAACTGAAAACCACTTCCCCATTCATTAATTTTCAGCGAACACACTTGGAGTCACAGTTAATTAATTAAAAACTGCAGTAGTATCGTAGTACGGCGTACCTACTTGCGACATGAAAAACAACCGTTGCAGCTTTTCAACGGAGAGACGCGATCTCGTCCGTAACGTGTTTTTTTTTCTTCGGCGTAAAATATTTTGTAGCTTTCTGCACTTTGCACAGCTCTCATTCAGATATTCACTGTAAAATGTTATTTGAAAATATCGCCATATCGCTAATTTGCTCTCATGGTGGTGCCAAGCGTCACTTAATGAAAATAATGTCCTAATCCTACATAATTATGTTAGTAAGGATTATGTCAGTTTACTAAGTTGTTAGTTTTCGTGTCTTCTAACATTTTATTCAGTGCTACATAAATAATGTCGGAGAATAATTTCACCCTATAAAAAACATTTCTATCTCCTACTCAATACTTTTATGCTTAATATTACAAAAGGTAAAGTATGTTTTTTTATTTAATGTTCGATTTCTGGAACCGCTATAATGACCTATAATATTTTTATATAATATATAATATTTTTAATTATTATTGCTTATACTACATTTGCATTGTTATATAATTAATTTATAAATGAAAAACAATGTACGCAAAAGTGGTTTACATATTTCCTAAATATGGATAGAGAACATTTGATCGTATCTTGGCTTCGTATGGCGGTCTAAGGCGGTAATAGTAGAAGTATGTAATAATACAACACTAGACCATCAAAACAGGTTCTCTAATGCGATAGCGTAATTATTCCCGTCTTCTGTATTGGTATGCAATATAAAAGCAAGCAATACAAATACAACTCGGAGCGTAAAAGGTACAAGTCATCGTATTATTTACAGACCGCGATATAATATCTCCGTCGCGTCTCCCACATATGAATTCGTCGTGATGTCAACAAGACAACATCGTCATCGGCCACAAATGCCGACGCGTTGTTTGTTACTTTTATATTTGTCATTATCGAGTTGCCACTTTTGCAAACAGAATGACGCTAATAGTCGCCGCACGTTGTGAACGATCATGAATGCGGGCTCGTTTTCGCGTTGCGAATTAAGTCAGAGCTAGGTGTCCTCGCCGCTCGGAAAGTTTGCCGAGTCTCTAAATGCCAGATGCGGCTGGTGTCACAATGTGTTTGTAGGTGGATATTGGGACGTTCGTACGAATGACTTGGTCGCCAACTTGCTTGCCATGCTCATGTGTAAATGTATAGAAGTTTACAGATATATAAGTGCCAACTTAAATATAGGGAACCTCAATGATATTATATATAAATACGAGGTAGATATGACACTTGCGTAGAAACTGGGGCATCCACGTTACACCAGTTGGTATAATTAGATTGCAATTCTATAGACTGCTATATCTTCCGTATCATACGTTCTATGTCATCGATTACATTCACTTTTATATGTCATATAACGTAAAGCGGAACAATTTTTAAATGCCGCGCAGTATGGACATGCGTCATCTTTATAATAAAACATCATTGAGCGAATCGATTAAGGTGTAGGAAAGTAGTTAATGCCCACTGTTTAAGAATGCATTGACCAAGAGTAGTTGCTACAAATTATACAATATATTGTTATAAAGTATCATTGGACACATAAAGGATGTTATCAGTAAAGAAAGTATTAAACCACAGAGTTTTAAATGAACTCTGCGCAAATCTAAATTTAAAACAAATTTGACTTTGCGAAAAGGAATATACAACTTCGATGACCACAATCTGAATTCGCGGGTATTCCATATGTTTTCCATATGTTTCCTTATTACCATTATGCACCATAAAAATAATGTAAAGTAACAGTCTATATATATGTCCCACTGCTAGGCCACAGCAGTGGGACATCTGTACAGAGGGTTTAAGGGTATAGTCCACCACGCAACCCCACTGCTAATTGGCGGACTTTATAGATAATATGCGAGTTTCCTCACGATGTGTTCCTTTACCGCCGAGCACGTGATAAGTCAGCACTTAAAACTAACAATGCGAGAGCCCGGACATGGAGCTATCATGGCTTTATTACAAGATATAAAGTGAAAAGTCCACAACCTTACCTTAGTCGATATTTCTAAAGTCATCATAGCATCAAAAAGCTAGTTCTGTGTTCGTCGCAGTCCTTTACGTGACGAACCCACGGTTTGACTATTGTAAAATAATGACCATCGTATAATGGACCTCACGAATTGTGGTACGGCCACGCAAAAGTCTTCGCTGTCACACGAATGGGCAGATCCGTCTGGGGAAGTACGCAGCGGGGCCGTGTGTTGGACTTTTCACCGATACCCTCTGTATAGAGGACGTCTTTGCCCAGCATTGGGACATGTTTAGGCTGTTAGTTTACTTTTTTTCGCTTGCTATCTTTTTATTAAATAATAAAGACAATACTAGTCCTTAGAATTCTGTCCATTCTGAATTCCTTTCGTATGACAGATTTGTTATTCGTATCAAAAATGCTGTGCGGGTGCGTACGTTAACGTATGTGACAGACGGCGAAGCGCTTTTGTCCGTCCG